ACCTGCTCTGTGACCGGTCCTCCTGCTGCCCCCATGGTGCACTGGGCTTTTCACAGGCTTGTACTAGTTACCGTTGCCATGTTTTAATCACAAAAGGACGGTCTCCTTCACCGCTTTCGCCCCTCCTGTGTGTTATCACCATGCGGCTGGGTGAGGGGCTGTCTGAGAGGTAGCAGGCTCTCTGACCTGGAGGAGGCGCACCTGCTGCGTCCTGCTTTGGGTTTTATAACTTACCTGGAACTGGGGATTAGCAGCTTTGGTGTCAAGAAATCTGATAATGCCGGACGGCTAAATCAATCCCACTGGTCTCTGTTGTCAGGTTTCCACAAGCACGTAGTGCTTGACCTTGCACGTTCTGACCTATTTTAGAAGGTCAGAGTTTGACCACCTCTTGCCGGAGACACGTGCAAAGGTGACTCTGAAGTCATGGGCTCCTTGAGCAGGAGTGGCTGTCGGGCCCTCCAGGCCAGGGCATCTGAGCCCCAAAGGGTCCTGGCGGGGGCCCAGCGGGGGCTGGGTGTGGGGGCGGGAAGGACTGCGGTGAACTTCCTGTAGCAGAAGAGAGTCATGATTCCTGAACTTTGAAAACCGCTGCCCACCCAGAGGACCTCTGGCCACCTCTTTCATGCTCACCTAGTCTTGCACGATGGCATTTACCAACTCTAACACTTGAGCAGTTCAGAGCTGACCTGTCTATGTGCTTGCCCTCAAGTTCTGTAAGCGAAATGCTTTAACTTACTAAGAAATAAGCCAGGAAGTCAAAAATATGTATTTACTCAAGGCAGCAAAGCACGGGGAGAAGTCTCTGGTGTTGGTCACCGTGATATCTAGAAAATACTTTTGAAGGACGCTATCTTTGGTAGATTGTTTCCGCTGGTAGTTGGAGTGTTTGCCACTCAGTGAGCTCTTGACCCAGTAATTCAGGAAATCAGATGCAGAAAAAACCATTATCAAGTTGAGAAGACAGGTGCACTCATCAAACATACGTGTTCAAGGGGAAAAGCCCACTAGGCCATATAGCGCGGGACTATGATTTCTCTCTGGGTCTTTAATTTAAAAACCATATGTAGTATGAGATCTCTTATAAGAGAAAGCCACCCGCAGTGGACTAGCTCTGACTCTCCTCAGAACGGATTTAACAGGTGCCCAAAAACGCAGGTCACAGTGACCTCTAGATGCAGCAGTCTCTAGAGGAACAAACTGGGGACTACGCTGACTTTGCCTGTTGCTCAGAACCGTTTCAAACAAGAAGTCAAGCTGATTTCAGAGTCTGTGGCGTGTTCCCAGATGTCACTGAACAGACGGCACACTTGACCGTCTCCTGGGCTCATCGTGGGAATGAGGATCAACAAGGCAGGCAGTGTTACTCAGGGTTAAAAACTAAGTGTGGCTTTGAAGGGTTTTCTGTGGTTTTTATTCCCGTGCGAGTCATCGAACTGACTCTGAAGGCAAATTCCAAGAAGTTCAGAAAATATTTTGGGCTCTGGCTGGATAAAGTACTCAAGCCTCCAAAGAGACTTCCACAGAAAACAGCACATCCGAATTTATAAATTACAGTATATTTTTGTAAAATCAGTCTTCTTAATTTAGTAACCACTTCCTTGTAAGCGAAAGACCGCTGAAAATTGCAGTTGGGAGATCTTTTCGAGGGTTGCACGAGCTCCATGAGTCTGCAGATGGAGGGTGAGTCACTTCCTGCCACGCCCAGGCGTGCGGTCAGGAGCACACTGTGGATGCACTAATCACAAAAATCCCTTTATCGCTCGCTGTCCCAGGGTCTCTATGCCGCCCGACATAAAGGATCTTTGGAGAACGTTCTACGTTTCAAAATACGTGTTAGGATTTACAGAACAATTTTCCACGTTCCTGCTCCAGCAGTTTATCCATGTTTTTATTAAGTCACTGTTTAGATGCTGAGCAAGAACCCTGAAGGCGAAGAGGGTTTTTGTGTTCCCAGCACGGCCCCTGTGGAGCAGCAGAAGCTGGGCACAGTGCTTGTCCAGGGGGCACGAGCTGTGGGAATCCTCCACGGGCCAGGGCTGACAGCCACATGCACCAGAGACACCCCTGACAAGCTGGGGATGCTCCCCGGCCTCTGTGTCCTCGTCAGCCCTGCAGCGTCTGGGGCGGCCCCATCCCCTGGGTCCCCGAGGTGGAGTGTGCAGAAATCACTCCCGCAGCTGTGGGCGTCGAGAGGGTGTTCACGTCCTATTTTTGCCAAAGCCTGTGGGTAGCACACTTCTCCACCCTGCCCCGCCCGGGACGGCCTCGCATACACCTGTCCTCCTGGCCTCAGGAGTAATGGTTTCTCTCGTCCTCAGCGCCGTGTGCACAGGCTTGGGAGGTAAGACCTCATGCCTCTGCGTAGGGGCCGTGTCCATGTCCGCGAGGTGGCCGAGGCTCTGGAAGCTGGAGTCAGCCTGCAGGCCCGCTCCCAAGTGGTGTCCCCGCCGACCAGGCCTCTTGGAAGTGAGCTCAGTCTGCACCGCTGTGGATGTGGACTTGTTGAGTGCTGTATCTGCAGCAGGCCGTGCTGTGGCATGCATGCAGAGTGATGGGGGCCATTCTTTACAGGAGCCTGGGAGTTTGCCACACTCGGTGAACTGGATCCTCCCTCTGTCTGTCCTCTCTCTGTCTGCCTGCCATCTAGCTATCACCTGGCTCTCTACCTGTTTTTAATATTCTGCTGAAGATCCCTGGGACGCCCTTAGAAGCAAGGAGGGCTTGCTTTTGCAGCCTCTGTGCTTGGGGAGCTCACACACGGGGCCCCGTGTAGATACCGCCTCTCTTAAGAGCTCCCTTTCCAGGAACCGGGCCTGGATCAAATCACACTCCAGCTTTTCACTCTCACCCTCCACAGTGACAAGCACAGCGGCTCAGTACTTTATATGGAATGGGCTAAAAATGCACAACACGCACCCTTTAAGGTTCACGGGGGTGCGTTTAGAAGGTGCGCGTCACTGCCCTGTGAAGACTGTGGGCCTGTGCTGGGGGCTCTGGAGCGTCAGAGCCCCAGAGTCACGTGCTCCGTGCAGGGGGCGCAGGGAGGCTGGCCAGCTCCAACCTGCACCTGCTCTCCGCTTCTCTGCTTCGTTCTAGGCCACCGGTCCCTTTGCTGGTTGTCACACGTAACACCTCTGTGACTGTGACATGCACAGGTTTATGTGTATTTATGTATATGTAACTATGTAGTAGAAAATATTACATAACTATAACGTATTAGATGTTATATGCAATGTATACTCTGTATAATATATAAAATATATATTTGTTGTATTTGTAATAGTATATAGTATATCAATATATTAGAAATATGAAACTAGGATTATATATTGTATATAATATATTACATGTCATATACAATGTGTAACTATATAACAAATATGTACAAATATAGACAGGGACACAGGTGTGTGTGTTGGTAGCCTAGTATTATGTGTGTGACAAATAGGAAAGAGGAGGGTGGCATGGAATGAAAGAGAAGAAAGAGAAGTTGAGAGCAGGTTCACTCTGTAGAATTTATAAAAGTATGTGTAGGGGCGCCTGGGTGGCTCAGTCGTTAAGCATCTGCCTTTGGCTCAGGTCATGATCCCAGAGTCCTGGGATCGAGTCCC